GGCAAAGTTTTCGCTGATCCTTCCTTCTTCAAGTCTCCTGTTCATTAGATCCCTCTCGGTTGGTATTTCGATAGCCTCTCGGATCTTGCGTTTTCTTGTATCTTCACCACATGCAGCCAACCTTTCTGTCGATTTCCAGTCGATTTCGTGCCCCGTTCGTGCAATGTGTCATGCAATTTCGGATCTTTCCGTATCCATGTTCCTGCAGAATCTTTGATGTTCCTTGATTCGTAAACCGATTCTTCTTCCTGTTTCACCTATAGATTTCTGCTGCCCACAGTTGCCACATTTGATGCGACAACTCCCGAGCATTCAAGTTTGTCAGTCCTCTCGTGTTGCGTCGGCAGACTGGTGAAAAGTGTTGTTCCATTTCCTTAGTAACAGTCACATTTGTTAGCTCAGTTGTGATGAGGGCAAGCAAATCCTCTTTTAGTTGTCATCCTGATTCCTGGTTTTCATAAAATTCAAGTTGAAATTGGCCCTTTATAATATCTACATTTTTTTTCTATAAATGCTCTGGGGTATCCGTTACTAAGGCAACTCCGTGTCAGTTTGTCCAACTCCTCGTCCCAGAACTCATTGTCCGTTAGTCGTAAGCTTCTGATGATCAAACTCCTCAATATTCCGATCTTCGGTCTGTAGTTATGATGGGACTGTTGTTAACCTTTTGAGGTGAGAGTGGAGATCCTATCGGTAGTCCAAATATTTGCTCGTAGATACTGCTGTTAAATGTAACAAATGTGATCCTTATGGTCAGATTGATCCGTCGTCTTAACGATTATTTACGTATCCGTTCTGCCTCCAGAATGTCCTCTTCTCGCTCCAAAATCTCAAACAAGGCGCTTACCCCCCTCTTGTCTAAGATGTTTGTGTGCATGGATTGTACATCGAAACTCACCAAAAGTTCCGACCTCTCCTTTGAGAAAATTTATATGAATTCTTAACGGAATTCGAGAGTCTGTCATTTACTTTCTTCAGTTTCAGGCAAATAAATTTCGCTAGTTTGTGCATTGCTCCGTGCTTGTTGTTGACTATTAGTCTTAGCGGATTTCCGGACAAGGTGCGTTCCTCTAAGTCTTCGTACCAATATGACCAAGTTGCGAAAAGAAGGTCAAACAACCTCTAACCATGTAATTTTTACTCATCTTCTTTTCGGGATTACTTACATTCAATGTATTTCCTATTCGGTTTATTCCCATGGCTGCTCCTATTTTACGTTTAGTCGCAGACATGCAAGAATCAGCAAAACGACAAGTCTGAGAACATCCAATCTCGTGCTCAGCCATCCTTTATCGGATGGGACGACAATTATCTCCAACATAAAAGAGACCACATGAACACATTATGTCGTAGCAACCCGATCTGGAGAATGGGTCAACTTTCTCTCTAAAAATGGACATAACTGAATAAAGTATCGTCATTTTTCTGAAAACCGTTTTTATTCCCCACTTCCTTACTTGTTCACCTCTTCTTCTAAAAGTCAAAGACAAAATATGAGAGAAGGTTTCCCTATGTCTCTTTCAAGAAGCTATTCTTTATTAATCTAATGTTAGGTTCAATCGAGGGATAATTATTCTCAAGAAATATTATTTTAAGCCGATCCAGTTCATTGTCACAATGGTCTCTATCGTCTAGTCTTAGGCTCCAAAAAATCATAGATTTTAAGACTACAACCTTTATTTTGTAACTATGGTTGGAGAAAAAGTTTAGTATAAAACCATCATGTGTTGGCTTTCTATAGACATCCCTGCTTAACTTCCAACCTGATCTGATCACTAATACATTTAAAAAAGAGTTAATTATTGTTAAACTCCAGCTCCATTTTCAGCTTAATATTGCAGTAAATCTGATTAATTAAGAACAAGAAATTATCTAAACTATCTTCGCCATACCTCCATATGACAAAGTATTCATCCATGCATCTAACCAACAGTTTGAATGTCAATTTTACCTCTTCCATGAAGTGTTCCTCCATTCCTGACATGTAATTGTTAGCCAAAATGGGAGCCGTCGTCTTCTGGTGCGATCTACCATCGAATCTCTTCAACAAACACTTTCACTCGAAATTGAAATGAGCTCAACAATTATGAAACAAGAGATTCCTCGAAACCCAACTTTTCTTTGAAAGCACTGGAATTAGACTCATCTTCAGTATCCACATTAAATGAGAGCCTTAGTACCATTTGGGAAGCAAGTTTCAGTAAAATTGTATTGTGACAATTTCACTATCATTTCTGCGACCTAGGAGGACGAAAGCTCTTATTCAATACTTTAAATACTACTTAATTCGCATACAAGTAGCGTTGCTGTATAAAATGGTAACTGCATTCTCACTACAACAATGCAATATGATACATATTTTATGCCTAACTAAGACTGTAAATGCCCCGAGCAATGACTGTCAGACTTACAGGCATACACACATTAAAACATATAAGTGCTCTGATCCACCGCCGTCGTCTTCTCGGGGACTCGACCTTCGGATCTCTTCTCCAAACACTTTCACTCCATTCCTTGCATTCAAAGTTTTCCTTAATCTGTTCGTTACGATATCCTCCTTTACTTTACACACGGCAGCAGTCCCGTCATAATCAGCAAACCGATCCGTTCTAAAATATTCTTTATCAACCTCAGATCATTGCAAATAGGGAGTCGGGTTTCACTGCATTTAGGAGGATAACATGCTGACACAAACTTAGAATAGCCGAATTTCAGTATTGTTCTGGCAACTTATTAAATAGAGAACAAAATCGAGAACAGCATGTGTTTTTTGTATATCAATAGAGCTGACGTTTCCATTCAATTTCACACAGCCTTGCGTTGCCAAAAGTCGTTCTCCAATTCTGTACCGTCGAGGGTTCGAATCCCGCTGGCAGTGTTGATAAGAGCAGTTGATGCGAGGTCGAAACTGCAGTCCACTCAAGTCGGAATGGGAACAACTTT